TTTGTTTGTAGAGTTTTTTGACACACTTGTATTTTGGGTTTCCCCCAGACTGTGGAAATTTCATGTTTGGGGGGGGGGGGGAGATCCTTGTAGGCTATGACTTAGGAATAAGATTAGTAAGAAAAGGGGCCCAAATTAATCACTCTCCTTCCCAGCTTCCAAATATCACATTGTATTATTCAACTATTCTTGCTTGTCATTGCACTTTCTCCTCACTAAGGATATACACATTGATAGCTCCATGCTAATCAATTAGAGAGCGGCTTCTTGGGTGCCCCTTGCCACATTTACACTTACTGTAGGTGCCCCCATTACAGTTTCTCTTATTAATATGTTTTCTGCAAAGCCTCTGCAAACTATTAATAGCAAAACGTCACTCAAAGAAAAGTGAGGGAGTTAATGTCTCTGCAAATTCTGTTTTAATGACCCTCTGCCAACTGGTACTCAAATGTATTTGAGCTCTTCAGTGATGCCAACTGTCAGGATTTAACAGTGAGATGCCTGTGTTTTTTTTTTTTTTCCTTCTCATAACTGACATTTGCATGATCTCAATAATTATATGCAAATCTTACGTTTTCCCCTTCTTCTCACATAAGGCTCATGTTACTTGTCAACTGCACAGCTGTCTTGTAAGCCAATGCCTGTGGGTTCCACAGATTTGGTTGTATTTCCATCTATTATGGAGCTTCATTGTTTTATGCAGTCACGTCAGCATGGAGCAAATTAGCATCTAAATTACAGTTCCCTGTTCATTTATTGGGCGTACAATTTCAGTAACTTCTAAACAAACTTTTATACTGGAGCCTGCTCATGGTAATGAGGTGAATTAGTGAAGTATGTGATTTTTCAAGGCCCTTTCATTATACTCTGTGGTTTGAAAAAAAATGGCAATGTTAACTTTCAGCTGGTAAGAATTCTCACAATGGGTGACAACTTTGTAGTTCCTTAAAGTTGGAGCAAAGTAAATTGCATACTTTAGTGATGCAATTGCCACATCCCTATTGAAAAGGTAGAATATATGGGGAGAGAGATGAGTTCTATTTCTTTTTGGTTTCAGCATTGACTCTTGAAGAGGTAAATGTCATTTTAATCTTAAATGATTATGAATCCATGTATCTCCACGCTATGAGAGTCAACTAAATACAGTAAAAGATAAATTGCATTATGGGAATCATTTACTTTTATTTCTCTGTGTGTTAAAAGTGCTATTCAAACCATACCCCCTAATTTCAAAATAGATGCAATATTCACCAAGTGTGAAATTTATAGCAAATTTAATACTAAATTGAACAGCACTAAATTTGTTTCCTGTTTTAAAACTGTGTGGCATGGCTATCTTCTTTTTGCTTGGTAATTTAATATTTCACAGTAATAGAGAACTTTGAGAGTCTGACTTGGACGAAAGTAGTAAAATAAAATGCTGCTGAATGTAGGAATGACAGATTTGTCCAGTTGAACAGAACCTGAACCATCATCACCTAGCCCAGCCCTCTTGTTTTACAGAGGAGTTTATGCTAAGTGCGCCCTTGTCACAGAGATTAGCAATGCACATCAGGATGGTGCTTCTTCCTCTCTTGTAATTCCCACAGACTTACGCTGAGCCACTGTTAAAGAGGTAAGAAATGAATGTCATTAATTTAGCGCTACAGAGACCAGAAGCAACACCCTGAAGTCAAAGCGCCTTGCTGCTCAAGCTAGACATGTAGGGACAGAGAGAATATGCATTCACATTTGCACATTTTATTAGTTGAAGCTATTGAAAGGCAGGCATTGCAGCATTTTTGGAGCATAAATAGATTCATCTTCTCTAATGCCGTGGCAACCAGAACACTTACCATTAAGTCTAATTCTTCTTCATTGTGTTCCTGGTATTCCCTGTTTATATCCTTTACATTTTGATTACTGGCTCCCAAGTCATGCTTTTCCTCATCAGAGCAAATGATAGTTGGGATGTAGGTATCTGAAATGTTCATATAATTATTTGCTGTAAGATTATTTTCATTGTAGACTTTAACAAAAACAGAGATTGTGTTTCATTTTAAATAAATTTACCTGTGATCTTTAAATTCTCAAAGTTATTGTCCTCTGATGTTACTAATGATTCTTCTTTGCTGTCAATATATAAAAAAAAAAACAGACACACATTTGTTCTGAAATTATGTATCCTAAATATTTTTATACAGGGGAAAATTCAAGTTAACAACAAGCTAAATAAACTCCATATATCCTTCATAATGTTTTCTTACAATGTATAATTTTAAGTAAAATTTAAAAATCTAAGTTTTAAGTAAATCTTTTAGGATGATACAGTAATAAATATTGGCTGCAGGAAATAAGGGAATAATTTATATAATGCTATTATATCTAAATGAGATTATGTTGTTCATATTGAATCTTACATATGCTGAGTAAAACCATAAGCAAATGTAGATTATTCTATTATCCTTGATTTAATTCTTGCAGTTGAGAATAGTGTCCTTTGGTTTAAATGACAAAATTTCACAAACTGATAGTCCATTTGTGACTATAAAATTGGACTTTAGCATTTCAATTATTAATTTTTTGTATCTTGTTTAACTTTCAATTGTACTATTCTAACAGTAACACTTTCGAAGCAAAAGGAAAAATATAAAACAAGCTAACTAAAAGCTGAAAAGAAGCTAAATTTATGCTCAAAGATTTTATATGTGAATTCCCAATGGCCATTTTAAGACTAACTGTAGATTGTTCTTATGCAAGCACAAAATTCTTTCTTCAAAATGATCAATGTTACATTGTCTTTTCCAGTACATTCTGCATTTTTGTTTGAAATGATAAAAACTTTTTTACTGTCAAATGTCAGTAGGTAAATTAATGTGGTCATTAGAATTTATATCTGTCTATGATACTCAATGTGAAAAACATAATTTATGAAAATTCTACTTTATATGTAGTTAAATCACAATTTATCAGAAATATCTGCCTTTGTTTTATCTTTTTTTTAAAAGATTTTATTTATTCTTGTTTTCATTGTGTCAAATGGTGAATGTGGCTGGGTGAATGTACACCACAGCACATATGTGGAGGTCAAAGGACAACTTTGTGGAGCTGATTCTCTCTTTTCACATTTAAGTGGGTTCCAGGGACCAACCTCAGGTCATCAGGCTTGCACAGCAATCACTTTGACCTACTGAGCCATCTCACTAGTCCAGTTTTCTTGTACCTAATTCTTTCAATTATTATTTTTTCTATAACAAAAGAAAATTGAAAAACATGACAGTTGCTGATAAATTTGTGTAATAGAGTCTACTCTTCACTGAACTGGAAATTTTGATTCAAATTCCAGCAAGGTTAATTTTATCTCTACAGATCATGTGAAAATTAGAAATTCTTTCATCTTGACTATGTAAAAGGATAATGTGGTTTGTATATATTTATCTCATTTCATTTTAACTTTGCTGAAACATTGATACCATTATTGGGCACATAAATGAAGCTAACATCCTATGTGAATGTAAGTTCATAGAAAATAAAATTTGAGGGACTGAATCTGAATTAATCTAAAATTGTATGTTGTGTATAAAGGTCTACTAGTGTGCAATGATTTATTTTTATGAAATTTAGCTCCAAATTGTTTTTCTTTTATGAGTGTGTGTGTGTGTGTGTGTGTGTGTGTGTGTGTGTGTGTGTATGTGTTTTAAAAATATAGAAACAAGGGCTGGAGAGGTGGCTAAACCGTAAAACACACTGGCTGCTGTTACAGAATACCGGGGTTTGGCTCCCAGCACCCACGTGGCAGCTAGCAACCATCTGTAATTCCAGTTCCAGGGGATCTGACCACGTCTTCTGGCTTCTTCAAGCACTGCACAACACAGGTGCACTTACACACATTTAGGCAAAAATCTCACATTAAATAAAACATTTTTTTAATGTAAACAGTTAAACAATATTTAGCTATTTTTGTTTCTTCTTTGTTCCACAAACAATAGTAAACCTTGTTATTTGTAGAAGGAAAGTAATTACCACCGAAAGATTTTTGTTTTTTCTAACCAAAATGCTGCCACTGATTTTTTTAACTCAATTTTTTAAATGCTTTAACATTTTCTTAAAGAAAATGAATGAAGGACAAGGTCCATACTTTTAGCCTCACCTCAGAGTCAAATTATTAGGAAAGAAGCTGTTCTTTAATATGATGGAGTCTCACCAAGACATGGAAATTCAGAGATATCAAGGGAAGATGTATTTGGTGATATATAGAAAGAAGAAAAGTAGAAACATATGAAGTATAAACATTATATGGAATGCATTTAGACAAAAGTTGACAGAATATATACAGATTCCAAAAGATAAAAGGATAAAATTTTATCAATAAATAGCAAAGAAGAGATATATACCATATTCATAGATACAAAAGAAATATTATGAAGATATAAAGTCTCTCCAAAATTGATGTACAGATTCAACACAGTTATAGTCAAAATTAGAAAATCATTTTTCACAAAGTTTGAGGATGTGACTCTAAAGGAAAGAACAGAGAGCTAATGATAGCTGGTATATCTCTGAGAAATAGAGGAGAGGAAGCAGGAACCTGCCTTAACTAACTCAGAGAGTTCTCATGCAGACTGACCTACAAAGACAATGTATTGTTAAAGCAACAAACTGATTGAAGAAACAACAGTGGAAGCTTAGTAACAGGATGACACAAACATGACTAGGTGTAGCATTCCAGAAAATGGGGAACTAAGGAAACTTTCAGAAAGAGAGAATGGGAAACTGGTTACACTTGGATTCCTTTCCCAGCACTCACATGTGATTAGCAACCATCCATAACTCCAGTTCCAGGAGATCCAACACCCTCTTCCAACCTTTACAGGCATTACATGACACAGGAGCACTTGCATATATTCAGGCAATACACTCATACACATTAAATAAAAATATTAAATACAATATTTTAAAAACAGGGACATAGGCATCATTATTAGATAACAGAGAAATGAAAATCAACATAAGGTGACATCACTGATACTCATTCAAATGTGGCAGATGGTCTGGAGTTACACTGCTGGTAGGAGGATAAATGGTGAAAATAACCTTGGAGAAGAGTTTAATGTCATTTCCTAAAATTTAGCATCTATGTACTCCACAATCACTACTAAGTCTCTACTCACTATCTGAGGGAGCACACACTATCTGAGGGAGCTACAGTAATGTGCTGCCGCTGTTAGCAACTTACAATTCTTAGACTAATATAAATGACCATTCACAGAAGGGTAAATACAAAGCTATAAAATACCATTAAAAGTTTTAAACAAAGCATAGAACTGGGGAAATGAACAGCAGACCCCAATCTTAGCTGAAGAAACATTGGTGACTGATTATTGCTAGGTGAAGAAGAGCTAATCTTCCTAAAACAAGGGACTCTAGATAAGCTGACTAGACCTCAATGGATGGACTTGCACTGGGGAACATTTGGGGACACTGACTTGACACATTGGGCCTTAACACAGATGACATGGGTCCAGTGTGGGGGCTATGGAAGGGTCCTGGTGGGGATGGGGCTACAAAGATGATTAAGATTGAGATATTCTGTATAAAATACATAAAAATTCAATAAAAACAAAACAATGCTCAGCCTCCTTTCTCCTCTTTTTTCCATCCTTCCTCTTGCCATTATTTTCATGACATTGCCTTCTTCACTCATTAAAATTTAATGTGAAAAAACCAATCTAATATTTTATATCATGTGTACATCCATGTATGTGTGTCTTTTAAAGCATGTGGTGTTACTGCTTCCAAAGCTGTGGATTTAAAGAATATGTTTATTATTTGTGAATTTCATAGAGTGTATTTTGGGCATATTCAGACCACCTCCTCCACCTCCTACCCTACTTACTAGCCCTCTCCTGACTCCATCTCCTTTATTTATTTTTAAATACCTATCAAGTCTAGAGAATTATTTTAATTCTGGTGATGATTAAACACAATTATTTGTATTTAGTTTTTTTTTAATTTAATAAAACTTGTTCAAAGTTAACATATGCATTTTGGAGCAAGAAATCATTTCCAATGCACTTTAAATCGCATTGTATAGTCATTCCCCTTATTCCCTTACTTTTTAATATTTTATTTATTATTTTTATTTTATGTGTGTGAGTATATCGCCTATATGTATGTGAGTGCACCCATGTTGTGCAATGCCGGGGAGGCCAGAAGAGAGCTTTGGATTCCCCTGGAACTGGATTTAAGGATGATTCATAGCCACCATGTCGGGGCTGGGAATCAAACCCGGGTCCTCTGCAAGAGCAATCAGTGCTCTTAACCACTGAGCCATCTCTCCAGCCCCAATCTCCCTTATTTAATCATTGAGGGATCGTTCATTCTTATAACAGATAATATAAATATGCACCATCAACTATAACAAACACTGAGAAGTCAAAGATGAATAATCTCTAGACTCTTACCTCAAGAAAGCTATAAAATAATGACACAAATAGATACATCAACAGGGTATAATCATTGTTAAAGTAAATAATGAGATACAGCAGTTATTTCTTTAGAAATGAGAAGATGAAGAGACAGTCAGGGGAGTCAGGGAATTTTTCACAGAGGAAGTTGTATTCTGAGTTAGCTTAGCAAGAAATTTCTGATTAGAGAAAAAGGATAAGGAAGTAGCAAGTAGTCCAAGATAGGAGCAAAATAACATAAATAAGATGCACCTGAGAGCAGTAAGGTGGTCATAGAGCTTGGATTGTGTTTAAAGGGAGATTATTATGGATGAAACTGGAATTAGTTTAAGCAGACTGTGAAAGGTTTAGTGTGCTAGGCACAACAGAGCTGAATTTTCAAGTATTTTTCAACTAGTGAGGTGGGGAAAAGATGTTAAATGGAAGACAGACTGATCAAACTGATTATGCCCACAAGTACAAAGGAAAAAGGAAAGTAGAAAGGATGCTGTGCATTTATTCAACAGAATTTTTAAGGACCTATCTCTGGCAATAATGTAAAGACAGCCTGGATGTGGTGGGTCAATGGGAGATATTGCAAACACAAAACGATGGAAGCTAAGGGTGCTGGTGATCAGTGAAAGGAACAATCAGACGGAGTAACGTTTGACCTAGCATCAGTTGAA